TCACCCAAATTAAAAGTTTAAAATCAATGTGATTTATTATGAAAATTTCTTGATTTTTTTTAAATTTTGTTTAAAGTTTAAAACTTTGGTTTGTATGGTTTTAGTTATAGCATGAAAAATAGATTTATAAAAGATAATAAAAGTTTAACTTGAAAAGCATTTTGAATATAAAACAAATCAAAATGTGAACATTTATTTAAGTCACTGTATGCGTGATGAGTGTCTAATCTAAATGTGATACTTCCAGCTCCGAAAATATTTTGTTGAAATGATTTTTTCAAGATGGGCTAAATCTAAAAACTGCCTTTTACAATTCGAAACATTTTTTGAATAATTTTTTAAACAACTCAAACTTTGAAATCTGCGATATTTCCAGTATATTTTGGGTTTTTGTACTATCGTTTTTATGCTCCCCGTGTAAAGTAATGCATAATGAAAATATCCAAGTTTGATTGGACATTCCTCACAAATATTTAGAAAAAATATATAAAGTCAAAACGTTGAGAATTTTGAAGGAACTGAATCCAGAGGATATTAAAAGTTCCGCAAGCCACTGCCAAAGATGATTTACATATTAGTCATATTGCTGGGCGTATTTTGTGACAAATGTCACAAAGTGCTCACAAGTGCAACCGGAAGAAGTCAATTTATGCAAAAGTATGCAGAAAAAAAGTTTAAAAAAAAACAAGTCTAAAAACAATTGAAATCGCAGACCTCTTGGCTTTTGTGCCCAAAAATAGCTAAGGAACAAATACGCAAATGTATGCACATAAATATGGGCAGCTATATATATGTGTTGTGTGATTTTATGTGAATGTGGAAGTTTTAGCGAAATTTGCGGCGAAAGCGATTTAAATGGATTCGTGGCTCCCTGCGTACCCTATAGGAAAATCGAACGTTGAGATAAGCTTACTTACCATAAAAACTTTATTTCCTTACTTACCATCTAAAAAACAAAACAAAAAACATTTAAGCGTATGCTTCGCAATAGGCAAACGTGCAGAAAGAATAGGACCTCCCTATAACGGAATTTGCTGCAACGGTCAGCTAAAATATAGCGAGGAAAGTGTCCAGTATTTACTTTGTGATTGCTAGGTGAAAACCCTAGGCATAATATTACCACTCTTGGAACTTTGTAGTGTCGTAGATAGCTCTATGCCATGCGAGATCAAGAAGATTTATTATTCATTACTTCAATTCACTTAAAAAACGTATTCACCCCGGTTAGTGCTTCAAAAACGAAGCACTACCGTCAACCATGGAAATGGTATACTAGGTGTCGGGTGTGAGTTTGTTTCTTGCAAAGCTGCTTGCCTAAATGGCAAATGAATATGAATGAACTCAGCCGATAGCCGACAGACCAAAGCTTTCATTCCAGGAATTCAGCTGGTATAAGTAAAAAACATTCCTTAAGCTGCGTTTACATGAGGCGATTTTCCAGGCGAATCAACATTGTTCTGGAGAAATCGCTCGTGTAAATAGTGATTCAAAAATCGCTTGATTCAAAGTAGACAGCAAGTCAACATTTGCATGCGATTATCGCCTGTCAAAAAATCGCCTCATATAAAGGCAGCTTTAAGCTCAACATGCGCGACATTAGGACTAAGTAATTTTCTGAAAGTTGGTTATACATCTGTATATACATACTTTAGATGTTGTATACGTTTTTTTTTGTTTTCCTTTTTTTTTGAACCTCTGTTAAATTTATTCTTGCTAACATATTTTTTTTTTTCACTATCATTTCAGCATCTTTTCAAAATCAGTGCGCTTATAAATAATTCAACTAAGGTTCGCAGATATCACAACTCTCTACATTCTGCATAGTTATCAAGTCAATTCAACTTTTATTATTCAGTCAGGTAAGTTTTTAAACAAAACTGTTTTCTGATGCTTTTCACCTGAATTTTCTTACAAAATTTGCATTTACTTAAACCACATTAGCAGTGTTCCATATCACGTGGCATAAAATGTTGAAAGCAAATGACAGTTATTCTAATGAGCATTGAAAAAGTATACATATATTAATGAGGAAGGCTGGGGTTCATGTAGAAGAAAGCTTTGAAGAATCGCAGCTTAACGAAACTGTGAAACGTTTTTTTAGAAAGTCCTCATACTTACCCATTTGAATACCATTTTTTTAGTAAAGCCAAACGTAGAAATCCGTCAAGTCTCAGTGGTCATAGGCTATAACACACAACTATCAACATATTTGTCGCATGCGATAAAAAAATGTCACACACAAAATCTCATCACAACTATGTATACTTTTCATAGGCACATTTGGGGGGGGCACCCAAATAAGCATCCGTAATTTTGTTGCATTTTGCATTTTATATGTATCATAATTCGCTATTGCTCGTACATTAGCTGGTCAGCTAGATAGATACATATTGTGTTCTCGATCATCGATACGTAATTTATTTCCGCTTGAAATGCGGCAAACCTGAGTGCATACATTCATACATAGTATAAATATTGGCATTAGTATGCTCGCAGGCACGTCGTTAAGTAATAATAAACTCGTAGATTGTCAATTAATCGCTGAAACAATTCAAATATCGTTCAAGCGCTCGAGTGCATACAATTACGTATACGCATCGTTGTACGGCAGCGGCACAAATGTGAATGAATTCTAAGTAGAATTATTAGCCCCTTTCGCCTGCCTTTAATTTTCAGCCTATACAGCGTCTATAAATGTGTGTATGTATTCTATGCACATACTACTGCTCATCGTTTAATGCCCCGCCCACACATTCGATTGTGTCACAATGGCAATAAATATTATTTAAAAAATATATATATCTATGTATGTATGTATGTATGTATATGTAATGCTTAGCAATTGTAAACAAATTTATTTGCTTATGGAAACATTGTTCATCACATGTTGTTAATTGTAGGCTTATGTCTGTCTGCTTGTTGGGATATAAAGTTATCTAGAATTTTTAGATTTTTTACTCAACATTTTTATACATATGTATGTGTGTTATTGCATTTCAATTTAAAATAGTTGTGTGACATGAAATGCCCATTTGTGCGATAATACAAGTTTTCTCTTTGTTCATTTCCCCCATTAACGGATCATGCAACGACAAATATGCTTTCAATTTTAATAACTACTAATAAACATGTACATATGTACATACATCCATATTTCTGCGTATATAAGTACATACAATGCATTTTATTCCATTACGGCGTGTTTGCTTTTGCTTTTAATTACCGGTGTCATCTACAACAAAAAAATATAAAAATATTGCTATGAATGATTCACAAACTATGAGAAGATGATATGCATAGGGATGTACTTACATGCATATGTATGTATGTATGTACAAATGCAAATATATTTTTACAATTATAGTTAGATCAGCTCTTGTCCAAGCATGTTAGTCGCTTTAGCTGGCTTGGCTAAGTAATCAGGTTCTCGAAGTAGTCCATCACTAAAAAATCTATGAACTAATAACTATGGTCTAAGGTTAAGGGCTATAAAGGCAATTAAAAGCGAAATGATTTTATTCCTCCTTTATATTATTCAGAAATTTTACTCCTTCTTAGCCAAGACGCAGCCTGTCGGTATACCGTTATTGCAGGCATAAATATTTCGAACCGGAGATATTTAGGCCCATTAAACCTCGAACGCCGGGATCTGCGATAATAGCATATTCCTTGGTCACCCACCTCTAGTAAGACTCATCGATTAACTGCAGCACAGCGGTAATGCTTTATATTAATCTGTACGATGGCCAAATTTTTTGCTTCCTCGGAGGGAGATCCCTCCAGCGGAGCTTAGTTACAAATTCGAATTCGAGATTGTTCTCCCTTTAGTCCTTCCAGACGTACTAAAGTGGGTGATTCTTTGTTTTCTACGTCGTTGTTGCGCTCTCTGCCTCGAAATATCTTCTCTTTGGAATGTCCCAAACTAAAGTCGATTTTGCAACCCAGGTTTTCTATTTCGTTCCTTCGAACCTCAGTTAAGCTTTCCACGCAGCAAACTTTAGGGTTCATAATGCCCAAGTATTAGAGCAGCTTTGCCGCCGTCTTCATACAGAGCGAAAACCACCTAATAAAATAGATTAAACGTAAGAAAATATCTTTAAGGTTTTTCTAAATTCAATAAGAATTTTTATATGAAATCTCCAAAGACCCTCTATGGAATATTCTCCCTTCTTTGTCTGTTTTATTCCTTAGTCCAGAAGCTTTTCGTAGAGATAATCTTCTTGTTGCTATAGAACAATTTTTCCCCTGTGCATCCTCATTTTGAATAACGAAATCTGAGTGTAAGGTCTTGTCAAAATATCTTTCTGATAGATACTTTAAGATCAAACCAAGTTATCAAGCCTTCAGGGTTGGCTAATATGCTCTGCATCGCCAAGCCCGGAAGCTGCACCTCGATCTGTGGCCACTTGTCAAGGACAGGTTTTGCGCAGTTAGATGACTGCTTGAATATACATATATCGGCAGTGTTTCAACAGAATGCATGCTGCCTTTTCACAAGCTATTTTTTTGATTTCAGTTTTCTATGTCCACTTTTTACAAAAAAAAAAGGCGTTGCACAATATTTACTATACATATATCTTTTTACTGATTTTTCAAAGACCCAAGGTTTTATCCATCTTTCAGAGTAATTTAAATTTACAGTCTTTAAATGGCCAAAAAGGAATATCAAATTTAAAATATACGCTTTGCAGACTTTTTTTTTTTTGACATTTTGCGTATACGCGGTTTTGCACGCCGAGCGACGATATGTATGTATGTATGTATTTCACTTAGTCTGTGTGTGTTTAGTAAGTATATATTTATATGTGCTTCCGTTTACACTCAAAAGCACAAATATGGCTATGAAATCAACAACAATCAAAATAAGCAATTTTCGAAGAAGTAAACAAAAATTTGCAAAGAACAGCGAAATAGCGCAGCTTAGAGGCCAAACACACAATTGACCCCATTTTCCGATAAAGCAGTTGGCCGAAATAAAACGCAAACTAGTCTGCATAAATATAAACAAAAATATTATATACCTAAATATGTACGTAAACAAATATGTGTGTATGTATGTATGCAATAAGCAATTTAAGTTGCCAAAGAAAAGTGAAAACTCTGTTATTTAAGTATTTATTTATTTTTTTTTTTAAGATTAAATTACAATTGCATGCATAAACTGCGAAAACATCAACTGTGGAGATTCTAGCATAACTGAAAGTAATAGTTTTATTACGATACGATCAATTAGTCAGACAAACACTTCATTTACACGAAAATTAAATAGAATTCTTAATTACACTTTTGAAAATTGCATGCTTGTAAGTATGTATGTATTTGCAGTTCATAACAGATGTTGAAAGTAGCTATTGCATTTTATTTAGTTAAAAAAAAAAATGCAATTGAAATTTTTACAATTAATTTTATGCAACCTTCACTTTTGACGAGAGGCGTCCCAGTACGGAAAGAAACTAGTTTAAATATCAACCAGTTTTTTACGCACCACTACTAGTTGAAGATCTGACTTTCTTTCTCGTAACGAACTGTTGACTTTAACAGTCCCGACTCTGAATTTGATTTCAACTACTTAAAAATGCATTTGGCTTTAAGCACTTCAAAGTCAATATGTTTTTTTGCAGATCTCTTTTCAACCAATTTAAAATTACTTGGTATTAAATGCTTAAATAGTTAATTGCCCAAAATTAGATGATTTTTTTTACTAAGTAATATTAAATTATTTGCAAAGATATACATATATCAAAAGTGGTCAGCATGTAACCATTCAATCCCGAATCATCGTTTTGTACAAGGAAGGTTTAAATGTATTGCATTTCCCGATTACTATATTTTTCTTAAGAATTTCCTAATACTTACTCGTATTTTTATTTCTTCGAAAACAAGTCAATTTAGTTCCATTTATGTTTGTACACTTTGATAATGCCCACCTTAGCTTATCTATGAACTTAGCTGCAGCCACTTAAGATCTACTTAAGTGCTCGCCTTTGTCGCAATTTCGTACATATCAAATGTAATTGTTGTTATCATTTTGAATTGTCGTAAAAATTGTGGTTTTTATTATGGTTGCTTATCCCTCAAAACGTTTATGAGTTGCTTTTGATTTAAAACTATAAAAGTGAAGTGGACACTAATTTGGAGTGTGAGTGTATATGTACATATTTACGTATGTTTGTATATTTGTATATTTCTGTATGTATGTATGTATGTATGTATGGATATGTGAGAAATTTGCTGTTTCAAACCCACTAGGGAAATGAGATGCAATATATTTAGCAAACTAGTTAGAGAAGTAGTTACATTGTAATACTTTCAAAGCCAAAGAATGAATGGCTAGTCACTTATAGACGCTTTCTAGTGGGCAAATGAATTTCGGAATTCAACTACCTTCCTCCCGTCTCCAGTCTAGTATAATATTTCATTTCTTTTTTTGTACCGGGAAGTAGAATTTATTGAATTTAATTTGTTGATGTTAGTATACAGCTCTCAAAAAAAATCTAAAAAACAAGTAATTTTTAGCAAAAAAAAACCGACTTAAAAAGATATATATATATATCTATATATTTCATGATCCAATGATCGGATCTAAACCACTACCTTTCCGTTGCAAAAAGGATTATTGAAATCGGTTAACGTGTTGCAAAGTTATGCGGTAACATACATAAAAAAATAAAAATAAATAAAAATAAAAAAAATAAAATATTCCGACGAACTGATAACCTCCTCCTTTTTTGGAAGTCGGTTAAAAATACATTTCCTTATTTATGTTGCTTGAAAAAGTACTTTGCAGGGTGATTGACTTGGTTTTTCCAAACCGGTTTCCACCGGTTTTTTGGATACCTACAGGGAGTAGTTTTGAAATCTTGATTTTTCGAATATCGAATACATCGGATTTTATTATCGAACAAACCGGTTTTGTTTTCATTTCATACAAATCTTCATGGCTCTATAAAAGTCTATAGAAGTTCCCAAGCCTATATCATATTTGATTCCAATAATGAATGTTTGACGCTTAAACGCTTTCTACGTATTTGGTCGATTCCAATTCGGATTATACTTCTTGATGTCGGAGGGATCTACACTTTTACTCCACCTCCGAAGAAACTTTTCTATGGCAGAAGTACACTCATTGCCATTTGCCATTGTCTGCCGAAAGGCGACCGCTATTTCAAAAACTTTTTTGATGTTTGTGGGACCAGAAATTCAACCAAGGGGCCTACAGAGTGACAGCAGGCACATCTAAGCACTCGGATACGGCGGCAAGAGTACTACTCAAATCCGAAATGACGTCAGAAAAAATGCAATAAAGTATTAAAAAAAAAAAGTTAATATAAGATCAAATGTGAATTTTTCACTGATTTTTATTTGTTTTACTTTTGATCTAAAAAAACTTTAAACTTATTTTGGTTTGCCCTTTCCTAAATAAAAGTTATCTTTACTGTTAATAGTTTTAATGTAATTTTTGGTCATCGCTTTATACTAACATGAGAATTTTCTTAATTTCCAAATGGCGAACCGGTTTTTATCAAACTTCAATTTTTCGAATTACTCGAAAACCGGTTTTGGAAAAAAGGCGAACAATCGAAAGCCCTAGTACTAAGCTTTTCTTGTAAATTTTCTTGAAGAAATAAATTTTTTTGTGTGCCCAGAATCAATCGAAAGTTCGTGTGGAATATTCTGTAGTTCCTTTGTACTAAATCATAGATGAATTTATGGAGTTAGCAGTTTTTTATTAAAAAAAGATGAATGTTTATGGAGTTCGTAGATTTTATTTTCCATAATTTTTAATAAATACTATAAAAATAATTTGCTTTCACCACCATGTAGCGATATTTTCCCGTCATTTTCGTCAGTGGAAAAGTGGAGTTAGTAGCTTTTTTCTAAGAAGGTCTAAACTAATACAAGAAAATTTGATAGAAGGAAATTGTTTTTCCATTGTCAAAGAGACGGCAAACTTGTTTTCTAATCTCAATTCTGGAGAGAAAACGCCTTCTTCAGCTGGCACTTCAAGTGTGGAGCCATCTATATAAAAGTTTATGTACTCGTTACATATACAATAAATGCAACTCTTTTACAAAGCTGCACTCGGTTTCTCTAAGCAAAACGAAGCCGAGTCTCGTATTACACACATTTTTCCATAACAACACAACAGTAACAAAAGCAGCTCACTTAGCATAACTCTCTTCGAAGAGCACAGAACGAACGAGTTATGGTGGCATCCAATCCAAAGCCCCATATCGAATTTGGAACAAAAAGGGCAAACAAAGCGTAGCCATACACGCCATGACGGCTCCGACTTCCAAATATGTTTGTAGAAAGAAAAATTACAAGCCCAAGTGTGGCACGGTGAGAGGGGCTTCCTCCGAAATGGGGAAAAACCAGTGCCAAACTATCAAAGAGCGTAGAGTAATGAGGAGAAGTGTTACAAACCAACTTAAAAAAACAAAAAAAAAACAAACGCAGACAAGTTCCAAGATACTGGAAAACAAGTTATCGACATTTGCATGAAGCAGCCATAAACCAACAAAAGCAAGAGAAATTAAACAAAAGCGCCAAAGCACGTGAAAACAAAAACAAGTACGTCAAAAACAACAACAAACAATACACGACGGACATTCGATCTCTGTAGATCGTTGAATCCACGGTAGTAAAAAAAAAAGCTGGTAAATAACAATTCGACTTGAAAATTTTATGAGTAAGAAATTGCAAAATTTAAACAGAAAAAAAGCTTTCGTTGATCGGTGATCAGCAATCAGGGCTGCCAACTATCCTTAGCTATGAAGTGCCAAAAAAGGTGCCATTTTTTAATTCTTAGCATTTAGCACACTTTCCAAAGACCAGAGTCGAATGCCGAAAAAAAGATAAACCAGTTGTATGTCGTATCGAAATAAGAAAGTTTTAGTTGAGAAAAAGAAGTACAAGCAAATGATTTCACAAAAATGTATCGAAATATTATCTACTATTTTTCAAAAGTGCCATTATAAGTAGAATAGGGCCGAAACTGGCACGGTATGAGCCAAGTTGGCAGCCCTGTCAGCAATAGCAACAAAAGCACAAGCGGAGTATAGGACGCGGACCTGTGCGGCAAGCGATTGAGCTGCGCTCAAAGCTGGAGCGATTTGTATCAACAAAGCGGTTGGGTTTGGTCGCTCAGCCGATCGTGCGCTCGTCTCTCGTCTCAAACAACACGCTCTCATATGTACGTATGTACATACAAACATACATATATTGGTATGGTAATGATTTCGACTGGTTGGCTGTGCGATCGTTACGTCTCCAATGCGGTTTTGCGGTCGCGGTCGCGGTCACAGCAACAGCAACAGCCGCAAACAATAAACAGTACATTGGTAGACGTTTAGAAGAAAACACTGGAACCTACGGAAACATCATCGTCGAACTGAGACAGCATTGAAGATCGCTTGAACGCGCCAACGTACTTAAACCGACGGGGCGGCGACAGAGAGTACGCGAAAGGGGAAACGGAATAAAATAATAAGCAAATAATTAAAATAAAGTCAAGACTATAAAAGCAATAAAGCGTTCGCATAAAGACCGAGTACTACAGTACAGTTTCGGGTTGCGGAAATGTGCAAAAAAATACCGTAATCAATAATTTTAAATTCCATAAAGAAATTGAAAAAGGGGAGTGTAGCTATGTGTATGTATTTTTGCTGATTACGAGTAATCAATGACATTAAATGACAAATGTAAATACGGCACACAAGCGCGAGCTTAAATAACTAAATTAATACTTTGGAAGGCAAAAATAACCAAGATAGTACAAAGTGCAAAATAACGAAGCAGCGGCGAGGCGGGGTGCGGCAAGTGAAACGAGAAAGACAAAAAACAAATATGGAAATTATGGAATATATGTAAATATTATTAAGCAAATAAAGAAAAATATTGAGAATCAACAAATAAGGCAAAAACGCGCAGCAATAAGCCTTGTACACAAGCCATAAAAGAGCAACAACAACAACGCCAACAAAAAGACCCAGGTATTGAAAAATAGAAGCGAAAAATTATCGAATTAGCGAATAGAGATAACGTTTAAAGTTTGCGTCAGTGCAAAAAAGCAAATCGCTGCAAAGGGTTGCCGAGCGCTAGGAGGTTTAACGCTCAAGCGACGTTAATTAAATAGAAAAACAGAAGGCAAGAGCAACAAGTGGGAAAGTGCAAAAAAGGTAAATAAATACTTAAATAAGAAAAAAAAAAGTAAAAAGGGAGAAATAAAATACTAAAGCGCAACTGGTGTGTAGGCACAAGTGTGAAAATTCTGAAAACCCAATAACAAATCGACTTAGTGACACAGCTGCAACTGTCGAGTGCGGAGGTGTAAAGCGCCAAGACGCAAACGAACGCGCAACTAAAGAAATTCAGCGAAGCGAGGCAGTAAGTTGGAGATAATTTCAAATTAAGCCCCTTCCTCACCTGCAGCTTGAACTGGAGCTGGCAGTACGCAATACGCTAGCGGCTAAGGGTAAGGGTTGTCGGGCGCGAGCGCGCAACTGAGTTTGAGCCAAGCGGTAAAATAAGTCAGCGTGACCGCAGCACGTTGTGACAACGCACGCGGCATAAGGCGCAAAATAGTTCAGCATCCACGACTAGTATCCATATTGACTACAGAGACAAGCTGTGATATAAGCAGTTAAGCGAATGAAAAATAAGTAATTAAATAACACAAAAGCAAAGTGTAGAATAACAAATTCGCAAAAGTAGAGCATACAAAAATTAACAAAAAGTTTATAAAACCAAAAACATATAAGTAAGTCGCAACATTATTAGCAAATATATATGTATGTATTCTGAATTCTTATTATCAAAACAAATTGCGGAAAATTCCAGCGACAAGTGACAGCTAAAACGGCTTATAATCACTAATTAGCGGCTGAAAACAAAAACAACTACTTCATCTTAACACATACATACATACATATATATATATTATTGTTTTTATTCATCTCCGCTAGAACGCGCTGTAAAGCAAAGCAAAAAATATTCAATTAAAAACAATAAATAAAATCATTTGGAATAAAAAAAAGTTGGGAAAAAACACGCCGCGCACACACAAACACTTTGCTAAATCGCATACACATAACAACGGTTAAACAAACGACATTGACGCTTGCAACAGGCGAAGCTAATTAGCGCTCGACAACAGCAGCGAAAACAACAACAACAACAGCAGCAGCCGCTAATGTCCCTCAACTCAGCTAGCGAGCAGCGAATCAGTGGAGGGAGCTTTAAACGCCAGCAGCAGCAGCAGCAACAGCGACAGCAGCAGCAGCGCCGCCACAAACAGGTTTCACATGCAAGGTCAACTGGCGACCGCCCGCCAACCAAATAAAGTCAATACAAAACAAACAGAAACAGAAACAAAAACAAAAACAAAGAGAAAACGTCGAATAATTCAAACATTGCACCGTTATTCGCTGCCAGTAGACGCATACGCGCACGCATTTCCGAAAAATCAAATCCTTTGTGACAACAAACAGCCAACATGCAGCCAGCTAAAATGGAAACGAAACGCACCATCTGGTACAGCTGCAATCAGGAAATACAAAGTCAAGACAACGACAACAACAACAGCAATGAAATGAACAACGATAGCAATAACAATGCGCATGTCCACAATGCTGACGCGCAAGTCACATTTAATCATAGCAAGGCGACCGAACTACGCCAGACGCGCTTACAACGTCAGCACGAACAGCAGCATAACTCACCACCACCACTGACACCTGCTAGTCCGATAAGTGCATCAAGCTCGTCGACGCAAAGTGCGCCGCCTCCCTTGAACGGTGGTGGAGAAAAGTTGCGCTCCAGTGCCGCGCCTCATCGTCTGCCGCGTCGCAAACGTTTGCAGCGTCAAAAACCCACCGAACTGGACGATGCCGATTTCGCTTATGCCGCCGATCTGGAAGAGGAGGATGAAGAAGAGGAGTTGTTGGTGGTGACGCAGCCACCGCCGTCAGTTAGGTTTAATACGACATCACTGATAGGCGATCCATCGCGCGGCACCGAGCTGCATGGCACCCCCTCGTACGTGACAGAGAAACGCCTGCATCACTTCCAGCAACAGCATCACAGCACACCTTTCGATGGTCAGCCGTCATCGTTGCCGAATTGCTTTGCATCCGCGGCTACAGTAAGCATCTTTCACCACCACCACCACCACCATCAACGTGAGCATCGCCTTAAGCATGAGGAATCGTTTGACTCCTCCACCACCACCACAACAAACACCACCGATACGGCGACCAGTCCGGCCAGTCCATTGCTGCGTCGCCACAATTTTACCATGTTGAAGCGCGACAATTCCACACACTCAGAGTCCTCCAGCCGCTATTCGAGTGTGGATAGCTTGTTGGAGGCGCGCAAGCCCGACCCCGAAGCCATTCTGATTAATTTAGGCTTTGGCCCGGTCGGTTCGGAGGATATTCTGTCGCGCATACCGAAACGTTTCCTCAAACCGTCACAGGTGCGCGGCATCGACACAGAGGCTTTCATACGTCGCCTGCAGTTGGCCAACAATCTTGCCGATCACAGTGTCTTGGGCTATCGCGGACTCACCGGCAACCCGGATATACCGCCATCGCGCATTGTCGCCAAGATTATGCATCGCTTCGAAGTGAACGAGCGAAAGAAGTCGATGGGTTCCATAGAGCAAACGATTTGACCGAACTCGCGCGCGGAGGGGAGAGAGGAGAGAGGGGAGATAAGAGAAGAAGAGGATGCCGCGAATTCATTCACCAGTCACCAGTGCCAAAAAGTTGTTCTATGATTTAACTAAGTTAAGTGACAGCAACAAAAAAAACGCAACTTTATTTCTAATTAATTAAGAGTTAACACAAATTTTATATATCGTTAGGGAAAATAATCATTATATTTTTGTTATTGGTAGTTTTTTTTTAGAAAGAAAAATATTGTACTTAAACAAATATGAGGAGAGAAATGCTGTTAGTTGGAACATATTCAAGCAGATATATGAACGTACATACATACTAAAAGACAAGTGTTACTTAATTTATTGATAATAAAATACATTTTTTGTTTAACTGTGAAAAATTATTATTTTTTTTTTGAATTATGATAAACTTAAAAGCAATGTGATGGATGAAAAGAGCAGGCAACTGAGTGCGGTGTAGTGGCGCACTCTTTCGCTTTGAAATTTTTTTTTTTTTTTCTAGTAAAAAAAATCAAACTCTAAATTTTGCCTCTTTTTTTTAGAAGATATTCATCTAAAACTTGTCATTGTGGGCACATACTTAACTCCGGGCCCGGGCTCGTGGTATTTTTTCTATTTAATTTTAAATACTCTTTTGCATTTGATTGCCTTTTGCTTTGAAATTGCATTTTGCTTCAATTTTATGGGCACAACCCTTCGCCATATTCTATTTAACTATTTAAAAATAGCAGTGTAATCGTTAAAAATAGATATGCAAACAATAACTTGCAAACCTGGCACACAACGGGGCATTACTTGCAAAACAAAAATTCATACACAAATAAGTACAAAATAAGCTCGAATAAGTACAAAATAAGTGCTCAGGTTTATCTTGTAGAAGGTATCGACGTCAAAGGCCAAGAATGCGTAAGCAAAGTATAAACAAAAGAAACAAAAAAATAGTTTGTTTAAAAGAAAAAAGTAATGCATACATACATACATACATATCTATGTATGCAAGCATGCAGCTACTAGTAGTAGGTACTATTTTTGTGTCCACACCCTCTTTTTCTTTCGAATAGCCGAATGGAATGTGTGAAATCACTGAATCCACCTCCAACCGCTTGCTGGCACTTCAAAGTGGGCTTCATGGCAATTATATAGAAAATTATCGTTAAATGCATAAGATTGCGCTGCGCCCAATCAAAGGCAATTGAAAGCAATCATAAAGCGTGGCTACAAAATTATTTTCGCAAAATGATACGATAAGAGTGAGCTTACATATGTACGATTGTACGAATGAATATAGATATGTATGTACGTATGTATGTATGTACGTAGACAATACGCATACACATTTTATACGAGGATCTGTAGAGATGCATTTTTTTATTTTCAAATACATTCAACTACCCAGCTAACCGGCGCGCGGGGTCCGCAAGGTAGGACTCCCTGTGTGCTTATCTTCCCGGGGAGGATACGAAAAGAGTCCCAAAGGAGCATGCTCGCCTAAGGAGGAGAATTGAGTGCCTGCAGGACTCTTTGAGTTTGGAGTACTAGAAAGTTCACTCAGACAATCCGCAAAAGCTCTGCGCGGACTCCTCGGTTTCGCTTATGATTTTTTTAAAAATGGCTCCGTAAATCAGCCGTAGATAACCTAGATGGAGTATGTTTTTTCTTTCTTGAATTGCTCTCGTGCTCCGATAATTGTCCGAAAAAGAGGTATTATGGTGCTTGCAAAATGCCTTATCATATTTTTTCTATTAAGTAGAAAACAAATTAAAATTAAAAAAAAAAATGGTTTTACATAGTATTCTTCACAAAAACAAAAAACAAACGGAGAAATTATGAAATTAATAAAAACTAATTTTTATTATTTTTTTCGCGATTCAGGAAGTGTGAGAACGAGTTTTAACTATCAAAATTGGGTAATTGGGGTTGTCTTCCGAAAAGCTCACAGCATTTCATCCGATGAGTTTTTGGTGGTGAGTTTTGAACTCGGTGTACACTGCATTTTCCCACAGTTACAGAATCTAACCCCTGGAGGAGAAGAACTTGGCTTCACTTGGCTTCCAATTTGCGTCAGTTAGCACAGAAAAGAAATGACTGGCGTGCTCTATTGGACTCGACCAAAATCGCTTAGTCGGTTACAGCGCACCTTCGAGGAGTTCCACTTTTCATATTCGGTGCACTCTGCACTCGGCTGGCTGGGTAGTACTAAGTACATACATATGTATGTATGGAGGTGTGAGCTCGTCTGCCGTCCATATTTGCCCGCATTCGTTACTTTCAAATTAATCATTCCACTTGAATGGGATTCAACTCTGCAGGTGCTCTGTGGGCTGTACTGACGCAACGGAAAGCTTAGAAAAATACAAAACCACCAGAAAGAGATCCAGCCCCAGCATAATGTATATTTACATACATATACATACATTCCACTTAGAATTCGGTGAATCAATTTCTAGGCGTATATTTACATATGTAGGTACAAAGTATACATATCTTTGTATATATATACTATATATTGTACATAAAATTTACCTAAAAATGCAAATGAAACCGTTGTGCCAGTAAACTAACTCAATGAAAACTCTTTAAAGTTTTAAATTCAAGAAGCGCATGGTCCACTTAAATGTTTTCTTAATTTATTAAACCATTTGTGAAATGCAAACTAATGCAATAATTTATTAAAAACAGAAGTATACTTATATTTAATTGATTTAAACAAAAAAATGTACCTTGATTTTTTTTCTATTTTTTTAATTAATGGTCGTTCAAAGTATTTAAATAGCAATGCGGTTTTGTTGTCAATTACCGTTTAGTCACGTATCAGGTGTAGTTGCAAAAAATACGCAACATATGAATTTATTTCAGCAATCGAGTTAAAGTATAATAGCATAGACAGACGGTAACGTTGATGCGGATAACCGATGATAAAAATTGTACTATGACAGATGGCGGTAATGCGGATTAACGAGCCGCGGGATCGTGGGTTCGAGTCGCACTGCCAGTAGAATTTTCAATTAAGGTTTTTTTGTTTGTTCATTCAATTATAACTTACATATCAATTTTTTATGATGTCTTTAGTTATTTGTTGTTGACTTTTTTAATAAAATTAAACTCTAAAAATTTAGATTAACTAATAATAAAATAAATAATGTGAAATAATGGAAAACTAAAGCAAAAAATAAAATATATAAATAAAAAAAATAATAATATATGTAAAAAAAATTTAGCAGGGTTCTACGAAATGATAGTACGCAGTTCTCACCACTCGCCTACTGGGGATGCCAAAACTGCCTGCTTTGTTTGCTTACTTGAGCAATGGACAAAAGCTTCCCCTGATTCGCATTAAGGAGGATTAGCTGCAGGACGTAATCCGGATCAACTTCAGTTACTTTCCGAGATAATTTCGAATTAACGAGTTGATTCGGATCAACTCTGCCGTCTTTCTTTGGTTTAAATACGTCCTTTCCGTTATTTCTTGTGGAAAGAGTGAGACAACAGGCTCTGAAATATCCGATGTCAAAATTCCTTGGTCACACAGACGAAATAATGGCAATTTTTTTTCTAGGCCATTTTCTTAAGTGCTGGATACTAAGCTTTAACTGGAAAAATAATATTTTTGTTATCTATGGCCTTATAACAATTATATTCAACAATTTTATCGAGCTTGAGGCCGTTTTTACTCAGCCTTATCATGAATTTTCATTCCGTGTGAACTCGTTCACATTTCGCTTTTGCAGTTCACCTATAGTATGTTGAATATTCACCAAGCGAACTAGTTCACTTCGAATCATGTTCACACCATGATAAAAATATAGCAAGGTAGAACCGTTCTCTCAATTTGTCGGCCATGATTTTTTTTTTTTGAAGTTTGCCAATATTTTAAAATCATATAAAAGTGAAAATAAAAAAATGAAATTGTTCGAAATTGTTGTTGCTTGAGTTTGAAAATGAAAATGTGTGTGTGAGTTTGTGAGTAAATTTAAAAATTAAATTGTTTGGAAACGTCAAGAATTTTAAAAGTGACTCTCAGCGGTTCTACCTTACTATATTTTTATCATGGTTCACACTATCGTATGACGTATTCACCTGTAAAATAATTTCCTCTCTCACATATAAAATCGCAAAACAATTGCTGAATTTTCCATCAAATATTCATGATAAGGCAGATTGAAATTTTTTTTGCGAAAAACACACAATTTACATTTTTGGTTGAAGTTATGGCTGTTTCGAAGATCACCACATCTCCTCATCAGACCTATTCAACTAGGATTCGATCCAACAACCCGAGCCACAATAGCCAGCAGCTTTTTCCACTTTTCTATTTGTTAAGCCTGGCGGCTGGGGTCGTTGGATCGAATCCCAGTTGAAGAAGTCGGCCATAAATGTAAATTGTGGTTTTTTTTTCACTAAAAATTTTCATTAAAACCGGCCTCAAGCTCAATAAAATTGCTGAATGGAAAAATAGTGATTTTGTTTTGCTTGCGCAGCATCAACAGTTTTTTGTCGAGGGCCTTTTTTTTTGATTTAGGGTGCGATGTGAATACATATGCCGGAGCAAAGTATTGGCACAACAAATTTTTCACAATATGTGCAACAATTTTTATTCTAAAATTTTTCCGCTAATTTAAATTTAAACTTTGTGCGAAGCTCGCGAAAATTCAGCAAATCTTCATAAAAATTTTCAACTTTTTAATCAGATTTTTTAGAATTTTTTTGAGAGCAAAGTTTAAGTAGCTAGGAATTTTCGTTGATTTTTGGCAATTTTTTTTCACGCAGTCTCTTCCATTTTTTTCGAAAATTCTTTATATGGAAAAAATGCAAAACACCTTCAACAAAAAAAAATTCTCATAAATCAACGCGATTTTTGACTAACTCCGAACTTGCATTTTTTTACTAGAATTTAATAGGCTACAAAACTGCATACCCAACAAAATTCTAAAAAATCCGATTAAAAAGTTGAAAATTTTGATGAAAATTTGCTGAATTTTCGCGAATTTTGCGAGTTTAGGAATTATATTTTTAAGTTTTTTGTTGTTGAATGAACCATATTTTTATACAAAATTGGCGGAAAAATATTACAATAAAAATTGTTGCAAATAATGTGAAAAATTTGCTGTGCCAATACTTTGTTCCGGCAGTGTATGTAAATAAATATGAAAATAAACTACTAGATCTTTAAAATATACAATTTGCCTAACGTTACACAGAAAAATTATAACGACTAACTATTGCTAAACTTAGTAAGTAACTCAATCTACAACCACATTTTTTAGTATTTTTCATTTTATTCTTAGTTTATTTTTTCATTATTTTTTCATGCTAAAAGTTCCACTTGAGATTTTTTTTGTTTGTTATATCCATAAATGATCCGCTCCAATTGACGCAAATC